ATATATACATACATATTTGTTATTCTTTATATTTTTTCAGATATTTTATCTATTTATTTTGTGTCTCATATTTTATTTTTTGTATGTGTGTGTGTGTGTGTGTGTGCATATGCTTTCCTGTCATCTATTTTTTTTCACTTATTTTTAATTTGTGCCGTTGTCACCTTGAAACGTCGCATGTCGTTCCCATCGAATCACTCCCGGTTACCATGGCAGCGGCTTGGCAGTTTCCCGGATGTAGTCTGTCTTTCCACCTCCTACTCCCCCCGCCCCCTCCTGACGCTTCCAACATGGCGTCGGCAAAGTGAGACTTTGGGCCAATAGTTCAGGCTGTTCTTTAAAAGTCACTCCGGTGCTCTTTCTCGTTGTCTGCGGCGCCACGGACGGTTCACCGGGAGTCTTACGTGGTGAGTAAGCTCTCATTTTTGGTTGTACAAAGCACAACTTCAGCGGTTTGTTGTGTTCGAGTTTTGAGTTGGATGGTGGGGTGGGGGGGTGGGCGCTTTTCTCATTTTACCTCCTAGCCGTTGCTAACATTAGCTTACTCCTACTCCGAGGAGACTTTGCTCGCTCACTTTTCCCTACTTTGCGTTTTGAGATGATGTCATAAAAAATCCTTTTTGAGTGATGTTTACATCATCGGATGCGGGTTGTGTACTCACTAAAATCTCCGAGCCACTACCTGGTGGAGTTGTCGGACCAATACGAGTCAAGCTGTTCCACCAGGGTTAAAGCTAAGCTAAATGCTAAAATCTCTTCCTCTTCCTGTGTGTGTGTGCGCGTGCGTGCGTGCGTGCGTGGGTGGGTGTGCGCGTGTACGGGTGTGCGCGTGTACGTACGCGTGCCCGCGTGAACGTACGTGTGTTTGTCGCGCGCATTGGGAATATCACACATTCTCGGGATGCTTCAAGAGCGGGTGGTCGCTCCCTATTATTTTGGTATGTTTGTACGATAGAGTTAGTGTACACAGTCATAGCACACCTGACCAAGATACTGAGCCCCCAGTTGCTCCTGATGCTACGTCATCAGTAGGTGAATGAGGTAATAGCGTGAAGCACTTTGAGTACTCAAGGTAGAAAAGGCTGTACAAGTGACACGCTATTTACCAATATTGCCAGATCAGACTTTTTTTTTTTTTTTAATCACATTAACTCATGGGGTCATTGGGCGATTATTTGATTCGAAAAATATTCGAGAGCTGTCGCCCTAATTGGTACCAACATGGAACCGGGGTACATGTCGTAGCAGAGAAGGGTTTTGTCGCCGTGCTGTGTGAAAGGCACTGACAATGGAATGGTGGTGAGACAGTTGTCCCAGCATTGTCCGCTTTAGACATTATATCAGGATGGGATAGCCTCTCAAGCCCCTTTTATACTGACTTTTGAGGTCATATTTAATTCTCCAAAATTGTTTACACTTCTCAGCGGATCAGAGTTTGGGGGTTGGGTCCATTGGAGTTAAGGACCATCCCAGCAGGGAGGCTGAACCTGCTGGAAGCATGTTGATGTGCTCTGTTGTGGTTGGTTTGAAGTCAAGTGAGCCGCGGGTCGCTTTGAGGCAAGCACAGCTGCTGTTTGACCGCAACGCAGGAGCTACCCCTCGGAGTGCCTTATAAAATTTTTGGGCAATAAATACAGTACAAGTGGAAAGAAATGTGTTTCCAAAAGTTTATTGCTGTTAATCTTAACCCAGAAGAACATTAAATTGGGTGCTTGCGTGATGGTAAACATCCACATCCAGCGTTGTCCCTGGGAGGCCAGTTTCTTCACAATCTCTTGCAATTAGACACAGTACCTCAATTAGTTGCCAGGGGAGGTGGTAAAGACACATTTACGCCATCATCGTATCCGTTTCAGGAAGAAAAACTGGTATGAAATTTGAGTATCTGAGTTCACACTGCAAGTGCTAATGTTCAAACTACTGAAGCCATTAGCTCTTGCTAACCAAAACAGCAGAGCATATTAACAGTCTCTCAAATAGATTTAAGTGTGGGTTTTTAAAGATCTGCTACACACAGAAAGCATCTGACACCTGGTAGAGGAAAAACTAATTTTCACATAATATATACATATAGATATATACACATACATAGATAAAAAAATATATGATTTTTACATTTTTGTTATTTCCATGCAAGTTAATGCTGAATGAAAAAAAAAAAAAGTTTCAAGGCTCGTTTTAAGTCAGGAGAAATAAAGCAAATTCCAAAAGGGAGAAAAACAAAAACGACAGACTTGTTTTGAATAATATTGTCTTTTTGCTTTTGTGCGGCTTTATCTTGCGTTTTTCCATCTCATGACTTGTTGCCGAGTGCAAGCTGGAGCACTGCCACGTCCACGCCAATCGTGGTGTTCAAGGGGTGGCCCGAAGCACAGGGAAGGCATGAAGCGGCAAGTTAAGCTGATGAAATAAACACACAGAAAATTCAATCAGAATGTAAGCAGCACAAAGGCAGGGAGGGACAGCCAGGTTTGTTGCTTTTGAAGGGCCGGATTGCGCGGGGGGGTCTTCAGTGGAATGACCACAGGAGCCAAGATCAACACGCCTCACCACTGTGGTCATTCTGGAACAGTCAAATGTACACAAAAGGTACACAAAAACATTTTGGTGAGTGTGAGCTAGCGGCACCCTTATCAACGGCGCTGAACGCTCCCGCCAACATTCCTTCGTGTTGTCATTTTCTCCCCCCCACCCACCCAACTTTCACATGTGAGAATAATGCTAAAAGAGACTGTTTTAATGCGAATCTAACAAAAGCAAGCTCGGACAAGCTCTTTCTAAAAACACAACACACAGACTTTAGAAAGTTCTTGATGGTCTGACTTTAACCTCAGTGGTGGTGTAACAGCAAAGAACAGAGGTGGGAGTAAACAAGAGCTGCTTTTTTTTTTTTTTTTCTTTTTTGATCGGAATGTTCCCGCATGGCTCTGACTGTGAATGTACACCAGAGCATTGTAACTCGGGCTGCAACAATTAAGTGAAACACTAAAATAATTCAATACAAAACAAAAAAAGCCACACAAACCGTTTGCTTCGAAGCTTTGTAGGGATAATTTTTCCAAACTGTCCGTGTAGAAATGAGTTGGCGCAATGGCAGAAACTGTCTGAAGTTTCCGATCATTTCAGCCTTAAGTTCCATTCATTTGAGAAATGCTGGTCATGTGTACCATGTGTCAACCATATGTTTTGTGGGCGGGGGACACCCTGAACCGGTTGCCAGCCAATCGTAGGGCACACAGAGACGAACAACCATCCACGCTCACACTCACAGCTAGGGACAATTTGGAGTGTTCAATCAGCCTGTCATGCATGTCTTTGGAATGTTGGAGGAAACCGGAGTACCCGGAGAAAACCCACGCAGGCACAGGGAGAACATGCAAGCTCCACACAGGAAGCCCGGAGCTGGAATCAAACCCAGTACCTCGGCACTGTAAGGTTGACGTGCTAACCACTGGACAACCGGGCCGCCTGATACTACCTCCAAACATCCCCAAATTGCTGGGTTGACTTTGTACTGCCTTTCCATGTTGGTGCATTTTATATAGAACAGCAGTGCATGAAAAAGTCTAGAAAACCCCCGGCTTTCATCAGCAATATGAAAGCAGCCAAAATTTACCTGGCAGTTTTTACTCTTCAAAGCGCTTTGTAGCCGTCATTCATACTGTCAACAAAATTCGCTGTGAGCTCAGATTTTTTTCCTGTTCATCAATTGTACAAACATGCTGTATAATGTAGAGATGAATTCAAGGCAGTAGTTTTCCGGTCTTTGCAGGTAATATCGGAGCCGGGTGGCCGGTGAAAAAGGCAGCGTTTCCTCGACTTTTTCCTGTGTCGCTATTCTTTTCTAAACCGCCATGTGGTGAGGATATATGAAGTCAACCCAGCAATTCTTGCGATTCAGTGGTAGTATGGAACAGTCTGTAAACCCTACTTGTAAAATTTGACATTTCCCTTCTGTTGCTGTTCTGTATCAAAAGTTGTCATTTACAGACAACAATTAGTGTACATGGAAGACCTGGGTACAACAACTGCAATATTCCCCCGAAGACAAACTAGGGAAAAGTGCAGGGAGAAGCTGAAAGTTCCGCATCTGGCATTCATTGACCTAGAGAAAGCCTATGATACAAGGTGAGAGAGGATTGCAAGAGAGGAGTACCAGAGAAGTATGTGAGGATAATCAAGGACTCCTGTAGGAATGCTCCAACTATAGTGGGAAGCACTGTCGGAACACTGGAAAGTTTCAAAGTGATAGTTGTAGGGCTGAAACGGGTCCAGTAATTTGAGTATCTTGGTTCCAAAAAATGCTCAAGGTATCTTTCCTGCTTCTAGTACCCGATTATTTACGTATACATCACAGGTGTCAAAGTCAAGGCCCGAGGGCCAGATTTGGCCCGCCACATCATTTTATGTGGCCCGCGAAAGCAAATAGCATGTCAAGTTCCATGATGCTTGCTGAACTCTGAACCAAAATTTCACATTGTCATATGTAATCCACAATAACAGTAATTATTCTTGACTTCTGATTTTAAAACGAGTTATCCATCAATTTGTTGTGTGCTGTGTATGTAATATGCGTAGGTGATTAAACATTTATCTGGTTTCCCAAAATTCATAACGGCCCTCCAAGGGAAACCGTAACTACAATTAGTTTGACACCCCCTGCAACAAACAAACTGTCACAAATCGTTGCCGCCGATGACAACACAATGCTGTCCTGAAAAATTGTTCAATCTCTAATTAAAGGGGCTAAATAACTTAATTACGGTGACATTGTATTACATGGTGCCTGTTGCCAGCGTTTAGCTCTATATGCTTGCAGCGCTAGCAACGCTAGCAGTGCTCAAGTTAGTAGATCTAAATGTCTCGACCCACTCATGCTGACAGCCTGACACAGTTGCTGTTTGTATTGATCACATTTTAATAAACCAGGCCTTCTCGAGTGGGTTGTTTTAGTTCATAAAATCGCAACTGTGGACCTGACATCACGTCTCATCGTCGAAAATTTAAGGGGAGAAATTTATCTAAGTTCTCACGAATGTTTCTAGACACGAGAATAGTGTGCTGCTAAGCATAGTTTAAATTAGTTTGTAACGTTGAAATATCTAAAAATGAAAACCAATTGACTGTTAAGTCGAAATTTTATTTTTCTTTTGTCTTCTATCTTTAATCAGGCAAAAATAGGACTCCTAGGAATGTCACAACTAGAGTTTGGAAGCACTGTGGGAACATTGGAAAGTGTTTTAATCCAAATACTTGATTATTCAAATTACCAATGAGATATCCGAATACGAAAGTATTCGATAGCTGCAGCTGGACTCCCTCAAGGATCTGATCTAAGGCCACTATACTGTATATGCCCAAGTACAAATGGCATTGACATGGAGTAACAAGATTAAGACCGACCCAGCATTTTTCCAGATTTGAAGTACAGTACAGTATCAGCCTACAGTCCATCATGATTGAAAGTTGAGGATTGATGAGTCACTCTTGCTGCTGCTGTGTCATGTGATGAGTTGATGACGGTAGCATGAGATATTAACTTTCCTCATAGCACATTTTACCTTGTGACCTGCGTGTGCGTGTGTCATTGGTTACCCCACATTCCACAACCTGCCGCTGAAAGCTTGCTGCCATTGGCCCCGGCCATGCTTGCTTTTGTTTGAAAGAAGCCTTGTGACTTCCTGCTCCGAACCCAACCTGGGTGATTTCTTTTTTCAGCTTTGAGGTTTGTGTGTGTTTGTATTTATTGAAGTAAGTGTCACATGTTTTTATTTATTTAAAGCACATGGACTTGTGGTGAATGTGTATGTGTTTACGTGCACACGCTAGTTTTCACACTCATCTGTTAAGATGCCCAAAGTGTCTCGTTAGAACTTTTAAATGGTTAACAAAAGTCACTTGTCATTAGCCTCAATCATGTCATTAGGCCGCCATTTAAAATCCTACTGGTATTTTGTGGGTTAAACTTACCTGTTATGAAATGTAACCCTTTTTTTTCGTTGTTTCTTGGGTGTGTCAACAGTGTTTAGTCATCCAGAAATTATTTTAAAAACACCATTAATGTGATAAGATAATATTTAAAAAAGGGAAAAAACCACAAAGCCATCAGAATAAGTTTAATCCTTTTTTTGCTTTTTTTTTTTTTTTTTTTACTTGTAACTGTATAAAAAAAAATTACATAGTCAGAAAATGTTCAAATATGTTGTTCTTTTATATATTTTTTAAATGTTCATCATTGTGCTTATACAGCTGTACTGCAACCCATTGACATCTTCCGCATCTACAGTAGAGAAGTTGTCGAACTTTTGTCCTTGCTGATATTTAACCAAGGGGAGCAGTTTGGACTTCCTGCCCTCTGATGTATTTACATTACTTTTACATGACAGTGACACTGCCTGCTTGTGCATATTTGAAAGAGTTGAAATCTCCTGCTTTGGGGGCTTTTCAACCACACTTTTTGAAGCATTGAGTTAGTCCTCCTTCCTCTGTTGTTCCTATTTTGAAAAGTTAGGAGCAACTGAAAGAGGAATGAAAACCTGGTGTGCGCTTCTGTCTACACAAGCTCTCTTTAGCATGACTGACATCAGTTTTTTTTACTGTCAAATGATGGAAATGATAACGATGGGATAAAACTGTCGCAATCGTGACATCCACAAACTCTTCGCATAATAACTTGAGATCATCACTTGTGACTGTGAACTTGCCTTGACCTAGCTTATTTTGTTTCTGCTTCTAGTCTAACTGTGATCACATTTTCTCCGTTACAAACCACTGCAGGTTAGAAGCATGATTTCACCAAGCGTCTGTCTGGTTTTGAAAGTCAAGCCGCGGCGCTTTGTCCTTGAGTGCGTTCTAACAAGGACATGCGCGGTGAGTTGTTTACGTCGGCCTTATCTGCTGAGGCGAGTATGATTCTGGCAGTCAGACGGCTAGCTATGTCAGATATGTCTCTGAAGAGCCTCCAACTGAAAATCACCTCACGTGTCAATACGAAAACGTTATCGATGTTTTACCGCGCTCAATGACAGGTTGCAGAACGGTAAAACTTCAAGCGAGTGACAGGTGAGCTCATGCACTAATTGTTAGATAATTAGCAAGTACGTTGCATATGGGACGTATTCACTGCGCCTCACTTTTTACACATTTTGTTATATCACCACCTTCTTCAAAAATTGAATACATTGTTGAAAACAATTTTAAAAAAAGTGAAGTTCTGTGTAGTGCATCCGGAATGTATTCACAAGGCTGCATGAAGTATTTTGACGAAAAAAAATCTTGAATCAGTTTCGAAAAATAAGGCTATAAAATAACGTGAAAAGGGGAAGTGTGAATGAATACTTTGCAAATGTACTGTACAACAAAATATGTTGTGGGATGCTGCCGTTATTTTTTCTTCATATGTTGCAGTAAGAGCACAGTGTGTACATTGTGTTTATGTTGTTTTGTGGACCACCCGTCTCTCCATCCAGCCATGTTTAGAAGTGGAATGAGGTCACTGTGCTCCTCAGATGATTTTTGACATCCTTTCTCACTGCTCGGCCATGCGAAGATGCGATTGATAGAGGGGTGGGATCTGTGGTGGTCGAGGAGCGGGATTATGGGTAATGAGGAGTACAGTGTTGCCCCACAATCATTCATGAAATGAGCTGATGTTAGCCATGCTCGTTTGCCATTTTAACGGTCTTGATATCTGCCAAGTAAACAAATAAGGCTGAATGATTTTGGGGGAAAAAAATTATCTGGATTATTTTCATTGCGATTGAAATCACAATTATTCAAATAACTATTCATTGATTTCAAAACTTAGCATTTATTCAACTACCAAAGCCCGAATACTCAATACTCATAATAGTCTCATGACCATTCATCCCTTCACTTTTTCAAGAGTTGATACTGCCCAAAGACAGTTGGGATATGCTACAGCACCCCATGCCACCCTTGTGAGGATAAGCGGATCGGAAAATGAATGAATGGATAGATGGATGGATTTTAGACAACGGTAATGGTCCTCAGGCTCACAGACTGCTCGCACCAGTAACGGGAGGGGAGGGGATATGTTACTTTGCCTTCACTGACAACAACAAAAAAAAAACCCGCCTAATAACGTTGATGAAAGGTATTAGTGGTTTTGAAACGATGACTTCTTACATACCTTGAAACCGGTAAATCGCCAATTCCTAACTGCTACTAAATTTCTGCAGTAGTCGTCGTACCTTTAGAGGAGAGAGAACATGTGAGTGTTGTTGTATGTTCTGTTTGTATGCCTTGCTGCTGTGTTTGGTAAAATTATTTATAAAGTTATTTGAAAGTTTGCATGTTCTCCGCTTTATAAATGAGGTTGTCTGTTCTGGCCTGTGATTGGCTGATGACTAGTTAATTTGGTCTCTCTATGTCCCTGATTATTCCCTATTGGGAGTTAGTCTGGAACGTATCTCTGGCGATAAACAGCCTTTTACCGTTAATGAAGGTAGGAGGGCGGGTGATGCAGTAACGAGGGAGGTTTATAAGCTGTCAACAAAATCACTGGCTGAGCAGAAAGGCATGTAGCTGCAGAGCAACCACACGTTTTCACTGTGAGCTGTTAACTCTAAATATACACTTACAATTTAATTATAGTTAAAGAAGCCCCATGGTTAAGTGCTGTCTACAGGCTGACATGTCTTAAGTATTTTCTGTCATCAAAGTGCTGCTAAACTCACGTGTTTGTCAGTGTGACTCAGCAGCCGACTGCTCGCTATTGCGTCCTTGACTGGATTTCCCTCTCCCTTAGGGTCGTAGTCTTCTTGAATCTGCCTTCCATTGTTTGAGCCTGCATATTCCCTTCCTTCATTGTCCGATGTTCCAGGACCCTGTTCTCTAAGTTCCTATCTTCCACTGTCCGAGCCTCTATTGTTTACGGTCCAAACCTTCACGTTTGTGGACTCGATGCTGTTGTCCTCTGGATCCGCTATTGTGCAGTTTTCAACTTACTACAGTATTTTAATTTTCCAGGAGTATCCATCTGTTTTGGGAGGAACATTTGTTTTTCAAACCAAAGTCGAAAAAAAAAACCCCGCTTTTGGCAAAGTCAGCATGCAGGTGCTTCATCCTCACTGCATGTGTTGAACATCTGTGTGACGCATTTATCTGATTTACACACCCTAACGTCATCATTTCTCTCCCTGCAGTTCTGATGCTCGGCCGTTTGCCGTCCTGGCCGCCACCATGTTCACCAAGAAGAAGAAGTCGCGCATCCAGATCTCAGCGCCGTCCAACTTTGAGCACCGTGTGCACACAGACTTTGACGAACAGGAGCAGAAGTTTGTGGGCCTGCCACGCCAATGGCAGTCACTCATCGAGGACACGGCCAAAAGGCCCAAGCCTTTCATCGACGCCACCGTAATCACTACCATGGAGCCGCACAAGGTGGGACGAGTACTGTGGCTTAAAAACTGATTGCAGGGTGGGGGGGTCCTCGGTTTACCTCGGAGTTCCAAGTATAGTTAATATAGTATTTGTATGTAATCCCCTATTAGGGCATAAATATGAATACCATCAAATGTTAAAACAATAAATAGGGTTGCTGAGGATTTTTCTACTTTTCCTAGTAATTGTGTATTTGTGTAGTATTTTTTGTTTTCCTTTTAGAATGTTTATTTTGTAGTTTGCATATTTTTCGTCCAATAGTTTTCTATTTTTTGTCATTTGTGTAATTTTTAAGATTTGTGTAATTTTTATCAAATATGTCTATATTTAAAACCTTTCATCTTTTGTATTAATTGGATATTTTTCTCTTTTTTCCTAGTGTTTTTTCCTTTTCTTCCTAATATTTTTTGCTCTTGGTATATTTTTCATTGAATATATTTCTAGTATTTGTCATCTAATATTCTTCGTTTTTCACAGTATTTGCCAACACTTTTAATTTTTCATCTTAATTTAAGGACTCCCCTCTGTAATTGTGCATTTTTTCACACAAATATGTTTGGGATTATATTTTTGTAATTGTTTTCTAGTAGTTGCGTTTTTTTGTAATTAGTCAAATCCTTTAAATATTTTTATTTTGTGTAGTATTTTTCATTTTATTTCAAATTTTTTCATTTTTTTTGTAATATTTGTCAATTTTATTTTTAAACGACTGCCTTTTTATATTTTAGTAATAATTAAATAATGTGTCATGCTCTATTTACTACTTTCATTATTATTACTACATTCCTGTATTTTTCAAATGTGCGACACTAACTTAGCATGTCTTCTAGTGGCTCATGACATAACCAGCAAACTAGTTTTTAATCTCCACACCTTGCATATCGGACCGATGTTCACCGAGGACCCTCCCTGGACACGGCTTGTCATTGTTTAATTCTTCTTTGTCTTCAGACCATTGTACGCGGCACGAAGCTGGGGGCGGACGGCTCTCTGACTTGGCTTCTGGATGAGTTTGACACCATGTCAGTGACTCGCTCCAACTCACTGCGGCGGGGCAGCCCCCCCGTGCAGCCTCGCTTGGAGAACGGAGACCCCCACCAACGACAGCCCTCACAGTCCGACAGGTGAGCCAGGTGCTTTGACTAAAGTCAGACTTCAAAAAAATGGTTGCAGAACCCCGCACATTACATGAAAGTTTGTTGTGTTAGGCTTAGGCGGCCACCTAATCCTAACACAACGAACTTTCACGTAATGTGCGGGGTTCTGCAACCATTTTTTTTTTTTATTCAGTGGCTGATTGTCGGCCACTGGTTTTGCCGCGATCCAATTTGTGGAAGATTTTCCAAAAAAAGAATCCCATGTTAAATCGCATTCGTAAAATTTCGGGGGTTAAAAAAATCACATTTGATTGTTTTTCAAAGTTTTTCAGCCCAACTGTCATCCATTTTCTGGGGCCAGTGAACTGGACCACTGCACTCCACTCCACAAATTTAATTCAAATAAACATCAAAGGAACCTTGGAAACCACTTCTGTGTTTTTTTTTTTAACAGAGAGCGCCTCGGGTCGGACCCCCACGGTGACCCCCGCCACGCTCAGCACCCCGTCCGAGGCTCCCAGCGAGAAGATGGGATCCACGCTCGGCCTCAGCAGCAGCCCCGAGGCCAAGAGCCAGGCCGGGGCAACAGAGACAGACCAGGATCCGGTCCCCCACCACCACCTCCTCACAGAGACAGACAGCATCGGGACCAGAACCAGGTTAGACCCCGGATGGAGTCGCATGCCACACCCTTTTTTTTTTTTTTTTTTTTAAATTTTATGCCCAACATAGTTTTTTTTCCTCATATTTTTCTAATATCCCTGTGTATTTGGTCTAATATTTTATCTTTATTTTTCTGTTTCTTTCCTAATATTTTTCCAACTTTGTGAATATTAGTTTTTTTCCCCCTAATATTTTAAGTTTCCCCTACCGATATTTTTCTTTAAAAAAACATGTTTTATTCCAAAATACTGTACTTTTTTCCCAGATATTTTTCAGTTTCTCTGATAGTTAGGTGATTTTAAATTGGACCGACACATTGGTGCCGTTGTTAGCTCCTGCTTCTTTCATTTTAGGCAGCCGGCTAAAGTAAAGCCTCTCCTTTCTCAAGAGTACTTTGAAACAGTAATTCATGCCTTTGTCACATCCCGGCTGGATTACTGTAATGCAACTTTGCTTTAGAGGCAGACAATCCTCCATTAAGCGTCTGCAGTTGGTCCAGAATGCTGCTGCTCACGTGTTGACTGGTACTCGTAACAGAGATCACATCACTCCTACTCTGGCATCCTTTCACTGGCTCCCTATACATTTTAGAGTTCTTTTTAAGATCCTATTATTTGTTTTCAAATCTTTGAATGGCCTCGCTCCACCTTACCTCTCTGAGCTCCTCTGCACCTACGCACCAGCCCAGTGCCTCAGGTCAGCGGACCAGACACGATTAGAGGTACTGAAAACTAAGCAGAGGCTCATAGGGGATCAAGCCTTATCCATTGCTGGTCCCTCTCTTTGGAATGAGCCCCCCCAGCCCCACTGAAGGTTCGGCAAGCCCCTTCGCTCGCTGCCCATCTTTAAAACTCTTCTTCAAACTCATTTTTATTCTTTGGCTTTTGTCTCAGCATGAGACTTGATTTTTAGTTTCACTGTTTTTGTGCTTTCTACTGTCTTTGTTATAAATTTTATGTTTTATTGTTTGTTGTTGCATGAATTATTTTTGCTCTATCTAAGCCACTTTGTATACAGCGGTGGTTGTTTTAAAGTGTTGTACGTTTATAATTGAGTTGAGATTTGATGTAATGTTTTTTTTTTTCCTAATATTTGTGTTCTTCATTGTAACACTTGGTATCTTTAGGATCAGCTTGTCCGCCGCGATCCGCATGGTGAACACAGGCCAAAGTCCAGCTACCAGGTGCGGGATGGCAGCCCACAGTCCCCCCGGGAAAAGAGACCCCTCTCAGGGCCCAACATCCGCACCCCTAACCTGACGGTAACCGATGGTGTGATGAAGACCACTCAGCAGACGACGCGGCCGTTCAACACGTATCCTAGGGCGGAGAGCGACGGGGGGCGCAGCCCCACTGGGCCGGTAAGCATGACAGGACAAAATCTGAATGTGACCTCAAGCTTTCATGGCCTTCTCCTCCCTAATGCTGGCAGTTGTCATCTTTATCTTCCTCTCCTTAATTGTCCTGCTTCCCATGGTCCTTGGTTGTATTTTCACATATTTGTGACAATGCTCGTCTTTATCATCATTCCAGCCAGTGCGTCCCCACGAGTCATCCTCTCAAAACGGCCCCTCCATGCCTCTCCGAGGGTCTTCCGGCTCCAAGCCCCCCATCGGCCAGCCGCAGCCTCACCACACCTCGTCGCATCCCAGCCTGACGCCAGAGGCGGGTCAACACCCGCACACCCCTCACCCCAGCGTGCCAGCCCCACGGCCACCAGCCCCCTCCGTCCTGCCGCCGCCGCCCGATGCCCGCTCCCCGCAGAGAGAGCCGCAGAGGGTGTCCCACGAGCAGTTCCGGACGGCTCTGCAGATGGTGGTGGATCCCGGCGACCCGCGCACCTACTTGGACCACTACATCAAGATCGGAGAGGGGTCCACGGGCATCGTGTGCATCGCCACCGTCAAGACGACGGGAAAATTGGTCGCCGTGAAAAAGATGGACCTGAGGAAGCAACAGCGCAGAGAGCTGCTCTTCAATGAGGTAATGGCTAAGATCTTATAGGGAATCTGGAAAATATTTACAGAGCTTCACCTTTTCCATACTTTGTTCTGTTACAGCCGGATTGGAAAATGGATTACATTTATTCTTGTTTCTCTCCACCCCATCGTGACAATGGAAAAACTTTTTTTTTTTGCAAATGTCTAGAAAATAACCAATTAAATATACATCAAGTAAACCACTGTGAATGCGCCATACAGTGTGTTACAGCCTTTTTCTCAAATTATGTTCATATGTAAACTCAAAATTCTGCACACAACACACAACTCCCCACAATCACTACATGAAAAAAGTGTGTTGGACATTTTTTTTTCCAATCGTTAGCCGAATAGCATAATTCCTCAAGTCATTTTTGAGTTAATGTCGCAGTAGCAATAAAAATATGATGAATTGTGCAAATAAATACATGAAAACCTTATTCATGTGATGATGGGTTGTCGTGTATTGAATTCTGAGGGGAAAAAATGAATTTGCTCCATTTTGCGGTCAGGCTGTAACCGAACAAAATGTGGAAAAAGTGAAGCTCTGTGAAAACGTTCCAGCTGCACTGTATATGTACAATGCATCTCTTCACCAACTCACCAACTCTTTGTGGGTGTCAGGTGGTGATCATGCGTGACTACCACCATGAAAACGTGGTCGAGATGTACAACAGCTACCTGGTGGGTGACGAGCTCTGGGTGGTCATGGAGTTCTTGGAGGGAGGCGCGCTCACAGACATTGTGACGCACACCAGGTGAGAACCGAGGACCCCTCTGCAAATCGGAAAGTAACTCAACAAGATTCAGTGTCAAGTCAATTCCGTTGCCCTTCAATTCACCATAAAAGTTATCTAACGGCGCTCTGCTTATGGTACAAGTGTCCTTACAAACTGAGGGATCAACTGAACCCTGCATGAGCAAGCACTCGGCCACAAGGCAAGCAAAAAGTCCCCCAACTGAAGGAAGGAGGGAGGGGGGGAGAGAGATAGAGAGAGAGAGAGAGAAAAAAATAGGACAGTGTTTCCCAACCTTTGGGTCAGGGCAACCATTTCACATCATAAAACTCTGTCACGCCACCAAGCAAAAAGGCACAGAAAGTATAAATGGTAAACGCAGCTCTTCTATGAAGTTGTAATTGTGGCACAAATCTCATGTCATACTGTAGCCTCTGCTGGCAGCACGTAGATTGTGGGGTTGGAGATTGCTTCCTGATGTTTTTTTTTAATTGATATTCTATTGAGCACAATTTCTATTGACATTTATCTGGTGTCTATTGCCATATATATTGATATTAAATTATTGCCCAGGCCTACAAACAGTATTCTTTCATGAAATGTGAAATATATAGTGATAAAGCCACATATTTTTTTGTTGTGATCTAACTTAGGACTTACTGACTTATGTTTGCACCACACTTGTTTGGTAGAATTTTCTGAAGTTATTGTCGTGAACGCTGAAAATACTACAAGTCAAAGTGTTTCATAAGAAGAGGACTTTGAAAGAAATAATCACATTAAATCGCAATCGCAATATTGAGGAGAAAAAACATTTGAAATTGGATTATTTTTCAAAATCGTTCAGCCTTACTCAAATGGCAAGGTACTACTCCAGTAAACTGTAAATTAAATCAACACTGAAATGGAATGATGAAACGGGCAAAGGTTTTGTGATGGCAATACACGTGGAGGGCAGTAAACTTCTTGAATAGTGCTAAAAAGTCCTGTTAAGTTTCTTCGACTTGATTGTTTTGTTTAAACCTGCCCCCCCCCCCCCTTTCGCTCCAGGATGAATGAGGAACAGATCGCCACCGTGTGTCTGTCTGTCTTGAAGGCTTTGTCGGTGCTGCACACGCAGGGCGTCATCCACCGCGACATCAAAAGTGACTCCATCCTGCTCACGCACGACGGCCGGGTACAACTCGTAGAATGTTTACGTCATCTTACCGTTTACTGAATGTGTCACCTTTTAAGTTGGCCGGAAAAAATTAAGTGGCTGATGCTTACTTTTTGCGTGCGTGCCTGTGTCCAGGTGAAGCTGTCCGACTTTGGCTTCTGCGCTCAGGTGTCAAAGGATGTGCAGCGCAGGAAGTCTCTGGTGGGCACACCGTATTGGATGGCGCCCGAGCTCATATCACGACTTCCTTACGGACCTGAGGTACCGTTGTCGCCTACTTTTGTTTTTTTCCCCTTCCTGTCTGGCCATTCAGAAGACGCTTGCTCCACTTTTGATCTCTCTCTGGTTCCTCCCTCCCATCTAGGTGGACATCTGGTCACTGGGCATCATGGTGATCGAGATGGTGGACGGGGAGCCGCCGTATTTCAACGAGCCGCCACTCAAGGCCATGAAGATGATCCGAGACAACCTGCCACCCAAACTCAAGAACTTGCACAAGGTACTGTCAATGCTAAATACTGTATTTGGTCAAAAAAAAAATTGATTTCATGATCTTATGCAGTCAAACCTCGGTTTTCGTCCATAATCCGTTCCAGTAGGCTGTTCGAAAACCGAAATTGTTCGAAAACCGAAAGAAACCACGCTCTTTAAAAAAAAAAAAAAAAAGTTTATTGAACACGTCTGCTCACAATGGAAAGCGACACAAGGAAGCGTCACTTCCTCGTGTAAGGAAGGCAAGAGGAGTCAAGTGGTGCATTCAAGTGCGCTCAGTTTGTTCTAGAACCGAAATTCGGTCGTCATCCAAGGCATAAAAAATTTGAAATTTTTGGTCGAAAACCGATTTGGTCGAGAACAGAGATGTTCGAAAACCGAGGTTTGACTGTATATAATATTATTTGTATCTGTTATATTTTGAATTATGTGAATTTGATTATTATCAGCGTGATAAAATGATGTAAAAATAAAATGTCACTTCTTTCCAGGTGTCACCCGTGCTGAAGGGCTTCCTGGACCGCATGTTGGTGCGTGACCCATCCCAACGCGCCTCCGCGAGTGAGCTTCTGAAGCACAGCTTCCTCAGCAAGGCTGGCCCGCCGTCCTGTATTGTGCCCCTCATGAGGCAAAACCGCATCAGATGAGGACTACTTGTACATTTTGGGCTTTTCTACTGTGGGAGGGGGGCATCATTTCTGCCCTGGATACAAAACAATAATTTGGGCTTGAGTGTGTGAGTGAGTTGGTTGGTGTTCACTCCTCAAGTACGATTCTTACTGCTAATGAAAAGAACACTGTATTGTAACCTGCCTAACCTGGAACCTTTATTATTATTTGGACCCGGCTTGGATTTTGAGAGCGGACGGAAGACCCTGGGCCCGGTCCCAGTCCCACCTGGATTTTTGACTACTGAGAGACACACGACAGCGGGAAAAAAAAGCAAAACATGAAGTCAGAGGTAAACACTGGAGTTGATTTTGTTGCTTTTATGTGTGTACGTGTGAGGAGTGTCACGATCATGTGATCTTGATTTGATTTTAATGTTTAGGATAATTTGATGTGATGATGATTTTTCAAGCACTGTCAACACACACACACATACACACACACACACACACACACACACACACACACACACACACACACAAGCAAGCCACAACATGACTGCAATCTAATGACTTTAGTATAAAAAATATTTCAAATATGCAGCCACACATACACACACACGCACACACACACACACACACACACACACACACACACACACACACACACTCATGTTGTGGCTGCTGGTTGTACATACGTACTGTTTTTTAAATTCACTTTTTAGATCACACAAGTTTTGTACAAAAACGAAAATAGATGAAGCTGATATTTGACACAGCGATGACGATTTACGTCAACTTTATAAACGGTGCTTTATTTTCCCTCCCTTTCATGAGCAACAAACGTGATTTGATACCAAACAATAGCAAGCGTGGCTTTGCCGTGTAGCACAGAACATATGTGTTGTTATTTTTATACATAGAAATGTGCTCATCATGTAGCAGAACTAGCTGGTACGTCCCGGGTCCCCTCCCAAGCAGCAGGGGGCAGTACGCAAACCTATCCTTTCTTCCTTTGTTTCTTCTTCCTGACTGGAACAGAATGTTGATTCACATGTACTGTAGGTTTTAGCTCTAAAACACTAACCAATCAGTGATTATGCAATTAAGTGTATATATATATATATATATATATCTTTTTGTAGTTTAATGGCGCACAAGGGAAGTGACAATCAGGCGCATTTGAAATTGGTAACACTACAAACAAACAAGACACTCTTTTGAGCTGAAACCTCAACCAAAGCCCAAATATCTGAATGTGTATCTAAATTTTGTCATTAATGTTTGTACACTATAACCTCAAAATATGAATACAAATCTCATATGCACCAAAATTAAACCCTTCTGCTTAAATTTGTAGACACGTTTTTTTGTCTGATCCATTTAAACAAATATTGACAAAAAAAATCATTGATGAGGAGGTAATGAGATAATTTAAGTCTTGCTCAGTGATGGCAAGCTAGCATTTCGCGAAGAAAGGTTAGCTAGCACGAATAACATTTTACATAACATTCTTGAGTGTTGTAGTGAGCATAAGAAGACATGAAAAGAGCAAACTTGGCGTGCAAGAAGTAGCATGTAGCTGCATCTCGATTAATACTGGCATGTTAAAGTGTCGCATAAAGAGGCTAGCCAACGTTGGTGACGACAACTTGCTAGTTTTATGAATTTTATACCATTAGTCTTTGTAAAGATGTTCCTCCAGCTTTTTTTTCTTCATGTTTTTGAGTTACTAAATGGTTTTCATAAAGCAGAACAAAAGGATTAGGCTAGCTAACACTGGGACCGACGAATAGCTAGTTTTTTCATCAAGATCTAAGACACTATGACATAGAACATTCCTTGCACCTTCAAAATGTTTTCTTGGTTTTTCTTGTGACAAAATGACATCTTAAGAAGTAGAACATAGTTAACATGCTACTCAATGCTGCCGTATTAACATGTCGGCAAAAAAAAAAAGGCCAGCTAACACTGGAAGCAAGCTAGTTTTACGACATTTTAGACTGTTCTTGTTTGTCACATCATTCCTTGCACATTGATTTTTTTTTTAACTTGTGTTTTTGAGCCACAAAATGGCATCCAAGAAGGCTGGCATGGCTGCGTCAAAAGTTGAGTAGGCTAGCTAACACGGGTGACTAAAAGTAGCTAGTTTTACATCACATACTACGACATGTGTGTCAACATTCCCAAAATGTTTTCTCATGTTAAGTGTCACAAATGGTGTCTAAAGTAGTAGAACATGGCTACATATGACAACGTGACGACTAGAGTAGCTAACACTAGCTAGTTTTACGTAACGTCCTGTGCGGCCCTCGCAACATCTGAAAATATTGTCTCCATCGTTTTGAGCAACAAGCTTGCATCTCAGAAGCAGGACATAACTTCGTAGTGTGACCGACCTTCCATAAATGTTCCCCTGCGGATATTGTTCTCAAACGTTTTCTTTTGTTGCTAACATCACAGCAGTCATTATTTGGTTTGAGTGCCTTCCTTGCCTTGCGCGTTGTGTTGACGTCATCGCTGGCGAAATGATAGGTCATAATGGGTAATGCAGTGTAAATACAGAGTATGAGTTCCATTTTGGTAGCTGATGGCATCATCAGCGTCTGTGTAGTCACTGGGATTTGCGAGAAAATAAAAACACTTTGCTTTGGAAATGTAATGTTTTCTTTCTTTCCAGCGGTATCTGCCTGTCGATAATCTGTCATCTTGGCTATATAATTGTCTGTCTATTCACCCATCTATCTCTCTGTCTATCTATTTTCTCAAAATGAGTAGTTCATATGCCAAGTCTATATCTAGTGCTGCCACAGAAAGAACCGGAAACTGGAAAAAAGATGCCAAATTGATGAAAGACATTTGATGATAGAGTCCTGCTTTTGCTGCACAACACAATGGGGATTGTGTGTTACTTTGTGTACCACAATGCAAGTGTGAAAACTACAACAAAATATCAGAATAAATATGTCCAAGTCAGGCCTCATCATTACAGCATCTTCAATAATAATCTGAATAAATCAATATATTGTTTACATATGTTTTTGGAGTTTACAATACATTTATTGTGGTTTAAGCATAACCTATAGGTGAAAAATGAAATAGGCAATGATAACCCCATGTGACCAAAACGGACGTCATTCTGAGCACATGCAGGTGTGCTTCTCGTTCCTGGAAATGGTGATAGCAAGGGTCTGCAAAGATTTTTAATTGAAAAAAATTATTGCCGTGCTGCGTGAAAGTACACTGGAATTAATAAATGCATATTTTAAAATTACTTAAAGCACTGATTTATTATTGCGTTCATTTGCGATGATGAACTATTTATAGAAAATAAAAAAGCTTTAATTTAAAACGGACGTTTGCTGCCCTCAGCTGGTCACTTCAATAACTGCAACATAAATCGATTGTCAAAATACAATGTATGAAAAGAGTATTAAAAGCAGTGGTGCTTAACCTTTTCAGAGGTACCCAACACAACCAGTTAATATGCACATTCACCGAACCCTTCATTAGTGAAAAAATATATATATTTTTTACCAATTCAAGATATTAAAAAAAACGCATTTATTAAAAACTGAAAAAAATAAATACAATTTCAAGAGACAAGTATACTTTTTTTTTAACGTACTATCACGACAGTCACACGTTGACTATGAAGCGAACTAAATTTCCCACAGCACTGATTGGACAAGCAACGTAATGTGATCATCGCCAGCCAGTGATGGCCAAGTGGGCGTGTACTAACTGACATGTTGAGTCCCCTCCATGGCAGAGACTCGGTCGAACCCCTGGGACCGAATTCACCGAACCCCTAGGGTTCGATCGAACCCAGGTTAAGAACCACTGATTTAAAGTAATTAATGGTGAATGTCGTTTTAAAAAAGAGTACTCAACATTTAAAACGTCATTTTGATTTGTCTTCATTGCCCATTTGGTCTTTGGGGTCAATTAGCAACACGTGTGAATTATTTACGAGACGGCATGAGCTTGGTCTTTGTGACACTTCCGCTGTTGGTAATTGTACCACGGACACATGACACGGTTTGTCTCAACTGGTGAACATGAGAAGGCTGGTGTTGCCATGGAAACAGTAGGACTGTGCTGCACGAGGCAGATGGACGCGAAGAAGACTCGTCAAATTAACGGAAATCAACCCAGAACCACAAAATGCGTGCTTTTCAAATTAAAATGAAACAAAGGTTCTACACCCGTGTGAGGGTTCCAAACAAGGTTTATGATTTCAACGTTAGACTTTCACAAATTAAAGAGTTCAGACCTTGTTTGGGGTTTGTCAAGTGAGTTATAAAGACATGGTAGGAAATGGAAATAATAGTTTCAGGTGTAGATTATAATTGCAAACAAAATGGGTGGGGTTTAAAAAAAATCCAACCTGCGTTTTTAAAATAGGACTTCACATTTTATTATTATTATTTTGCCAGAATCAATTGATGGATTTAGACGTTAAGGTTTTAATGGTAGGTTTCAAATCTAGTGTAGCTTTGTAAACAAGGCTAAGGATATTTCCAGTCTCACTCGTGGGTTAGAATTTCCAATCAATCTTTAATATAATTGTTAAGATTACAAAGTAGGATTTGAAACCTGTTGCGGGTTTTACGACTGGGTTAAGTTTTCCAGATATGGTAAATTTTTCTCATTAGCTGGAATAGCCCATAAGCGGTTTAAATAATCGATGGGTGGATGGATGGGTATGACATTAAGGTTTATGAAGTCCTTTACAAAGAATAAACACATCAAAGTATGTCAGATGATTAAATAAAGGGCGTTCTAGTGTCTTCTTACTTTGAAAGGGTCCCCTCGGAAGTGTGGCTCCGAGTGTAAATTTGACTTGGGCTCAATCCGAAAGGACAGCGTGAGGCGGCAGCAGGTAAAGGTGACAAGGAAGGAGGACAGAAAGAAAGAAAGAAAGAAGAAAAGGATGGACGGAAGAAGCGATTCGGACAAGAGGAAAATGTTGATGTCTTCGTGCGGGAGCTTGTACGACAGCAACAACTTGCTCATGCAGTACTGCAACAACAACGGTCAGCGCGCACACACGCTCACACACAGCGAAACATAATATACAACACAGTCCATAATTAGCACATCCGTGGCATTTTATTCTGAATTCCCACCCATTCAAATCGGCATCAAACATCAAAAATATACAAAATGTTCATCCGATGTAAACTAAAGCCCCGTAAAATGCTCATTTTCATCTCAATTTAAACGTGTTGCTTTTTTTAAAAAAAATAATTAAAGGTGCAGATTTTATACCATAATATCAACCCTTCCACATTTGGACAATATATGAATGTCAGTTAATAAGATCACAATATGCTCAGTTGATTTGTGTTAGCTCCAGTTGTCATTTTGACAGTTTGGTGTCAAATGTGCAGTAAGTCAGGAGATATTTTTCATATGCATTAGCGTCGAATCAGGTTGCATCGTCTCTGGTTGCATTTGCGTCGAGATTAATTTGTTTTTGCTTCTGTACTAAAGTATTTTTCAAAACGACTTGAAAATGTATTGCCTGGCTGTGGTGTGCATGCCAAAGCAACAGGTGGCGCTTGAGCCCCAAAATGTGAGGGCCTTTTACCCAATCATACAGGAGGAAGAAAGTAATTTAATCATGGAACATTTAATGGTTTTGAGCATTAAAGTCAACGCAAGCTTTGTTTAGAACGTTACATTCAATGAGATTTGCTGTCTTTCATGTTACATTTCTGCCCCTTTTTTTCTTCATTTAATGTTTTCCCTTTTCAAACATTACATTCATTGAACATGGTTTGTTTGAATGTTACATTTAGGATTTTTTTTTTGTCTAGAATGTTACATGAGGCGACGTTTTGCTGTTTTGAATGTTACATTTAAAGCATTTTGTTGTTTCGTACTGACGTTTGGGACCGCCAATGCAGAGTGATCATTTTTGACTGGCAAACATGTTTGAACGTATTTGCAAGTACAAACATATTTGCAAGTACGTTGTAATGTATTTGCCAGTCAAAAATGTTTCCTCCACATTGGCAATTTGACACTTCTGTTTAGGGGGTTGTTTGGTTTGAATATTAGATTTAGGCTGTTTTGTGTGTGTGTGTGTGTGTGTGTGTGTGTGTGTGTGTGTGTGTGTGTGTGTGTGTGTGTGTGTGTGTGTGTGTTACATATATGGCATTTTGCTGTTTTGAACATGAAAGATTAGGGGTGCATTTAAAAAAATTGATTAATTGAATGGAATTGATTTTCATTGGTGGAGTCCAATATTGATTCATAAAACCGTATGTCAATCCTTTTAATCCTTTCTTCCCATGAAGTGACTTCTCGCATCACACGAGAGTAGCATATCAAAACAAGGTGGAGGAAGCACTGGCATCAGTGCCACCCAGGCTGAAGGCAGATGTCTGAAAGTTTTTTTTTTTTTTTTAAACACAATGACAGTAATGTTAAAATAAATTACTCGTGTGTGTGTGTGTGTGTGTGTGTGCGCGTGTGCGTGCGCGCGCGTGTATATGGTTTTGTGTGACTTTGCATGAATGTGTGTGTTTCCACTTGTTTTTGCACTGATTTCTCTGTGTCTGTGTGCGTACGTACGTGCGTGCACATGTGTGCCGTTGATCTTGTGCTCCCTGCAGCATCTCTTCCGTGTGGTGCCTGGTTCTACTGATGCCAGTATGTGTTTGCGTGCATGTAAGGCGATGGGAGGAGACGATAGAGCCATAGGGAGATGCAATCAGGAAGTGGGCGTGGTCTCAAGGAATGGTCCAATGAGAGAGGGAACAGGGGTGTGAGGACAGGTGGGAGGGGTGAATGTGTGATGGAGGCGCATGAGGGTGGGGCGGGGAGGGGGGGGGGTCCGGGTGATGAGGAAGAGGCTGGGAGAGGGGGGTTGTGCTGAGTGGACGTGCCGCCTCCTTGACTGTTGCTCTGCGGACTCTTTGATGGACAGCAGCCAGCAAACCGGCAACATGGCAGGTAGGCCGGACCAGATCCAACTTCATCTTCATCATCATCATCATCATCATCATTAATGTCTTCCCTCCTCATTCTCTTTGTGTTCATGATGGTACTTGCTGACTGTGATCATGTGACCTTATCTCATCTCACCCTGATGCAATCTTTGGCGCTGGATGAATAGCAAGCAGATATTACATGTTAGTGTGTGTGTGTGTGTGTGTGTGTGTGTGTGTGTGTGTGTGTGTGTGTGTGTGTGTGTGAGTGTGAGTGTGTGTTTCAAGGTGAAAGAGATCAGATCTCCACAACCTTTTTTGTAGCACTGTTTCATGTACAGTGTTTGTTCTCTTGCCCTGTTGAGATTTGTCAATTGCACCCCCATGACGTTTCAAATTTTTGAGAAATGATTTTTACGGGTTTTTACAGTATAAAGGCAAGTCCCAATTTTGTGTGGTGCGCCTTCAGCGTAATACCACATTTTGCCACACCATGCCAGGCCGCACTCAGCCCTCCTGGACCAAATGCCGCAGAATGAAAAGGAAGAAAAAGAGGCAGAGAAAGTCCTCAACTACTGCTGGCACCAGTATACAGATTAATTCCCGCTCTCCCAAAACATTTGTTTTGTCCTCGTGTAAATAATATGTGCGATTTTTCACTTTTTTTTTTTTTTTAAATGTATGTGCATTTATCATGATTTATAATTTGTAAATATTCAATTATGCATGTGACTTGTCGAATGTGCGTTTGCGGATCAGCAGATACACACATTTATTTCGACACAAACCTCACAGCGTTTCAAGATATTCTTACACACAGGCCTCATCTATTCACACGCGTGGAAAGGCCATCCCTCCTCCGTATGCGAGAAACCAGTGTTGCTGATCTTCCATTATGTGTTTAGTCGGGGAAACCAAATTATTTCCTTTAAGCTTGTTTTGATGTTCTTCTTCTCTTTGTCTGCTGCCGCACCGACGTAGAAGCAGAGGTAACAGCAGCAGGCCTTCCATAAAGAGAAAAAGGCTCATCC